AAAAGCACTGTTCTAGGCAAGGATAGAGGGGAGAAAGATAAGAAAGAAAATCAGAAGGGGAATAGGAGTCATGTGGGGAAGGAAGAACAGAGAAAGAAGGTGAGGAAGTGGTGGGAGGTCACAAAGAGGCCTGCCATGATGTCTCTTCAAGAGCATTTGCTCTATAATAACCACATCCCACTCTGTATGTGCCCTCGGCACTGTCTTTTCCAGTGGTACCTGGGCTACTTGGCAGCAGGAACAAAACCGTTTGCACCTCTATAAACCCCACAGCTCTTAGCAGAGTAATTCTTAGAATCATTAAGGACATCCCTTAGTCAAAGTGTATCATTTTCTAGGGGAAGAAACTGAGTCAGTCAGCCAGCCAGTCAGACTGAGATTATTCACCTTAGTCAGGCCCTGGGCATAGTCAGGATTTGCTGGTGACTGGTCCCAAGCATCAGTCTTTCACATAAAAGTGAAGGTAGCAATATCTATAGTAGAGGTTAGTTGGAGAGTTCGTATTATGTATGCCTGGCACACCACAGAAGCTCAATAAACACCACCTGCTATTATTATGGCTAGTAGTAGCAAGAGTGAAAACAATCTCAGACAGCACTGGCCACTTCAAGTATGCTGCCATCTTAACTTTTTGGGGAGATTTGGCTGCCAATGTCTTCACCCTAGACAAAATGAAAATCTTCATAGGCATGTAAGGAAATGACCTTAGAAATAGAAATAGGAAAGATGTGCATACATATACCTACAGGCCTTAACAAATATTCATCTTGGCTATACCAACATTTTTAGTGTACATTTTTGAGAAATGGAATGATTTTTATTTCCCCACTGATTTCATCCAGTATTTTGGGGAAGACATAACCCTCAGAGGCTCAAGGCTACTCTAGTCTATGTACCAAAATAAATGCAAAAGTGATTTATAGAGATGGATAAAATAAATGGGGAAGGTACGCCAGAAAAATTCATAAGACCTCGAGAGCATGCTCTCTTCCTTCCACAGACCATCTTCAAAATTCACAGTTTGTAAATACAAATGTTTCAGGAAACAGTTTTAGTGTTTAATGCTTAGATTGGGTTGTTGTTTTGCTTTACAAAATTTAAATGAATCTATTAATAACTGAACTCAGTCGGGAGTTTAAATTATCTACAGAACGCCGGAACAACAGGTCACTATGATGCACACTTCGGCTAGCCAACCAGCCCGATCGGGGGCTGGCCAGCCTACCGCCCTCGGCCCCTCCCCCGGCCTGCCCCGTCCCCAATTGGCCCCCACCACCCCGATTGGGGGTGGGGCTGGCTGGCCAACCTCCCGTGTCCCCTTCCCCCTGCCTGCCTGGTCTGATCGGCCCCCATCGGGGTGGGCCAGCCAGACCCCAACCGTGCATGAATTCATGCACCGGGCCTCTAGGACTCATCAGAAAACACATGATTGGTAAATTACAGATGTTGACAACAAAATCTAAGATCAATTATTTTGCTCTAATTTTCTCTCTTGTCCACTAGATGGTGGAATGGAACCACTCTAGGTCCTGCTAGTTCAGAGGCAGCTCTTCCTATACAGATTTTAAATGGTCAAACTATATTTTTGTTTTGGTTCCTTCCAGATTTTTCTCTCACCTAATGAAAAAGAAAGGTAAATGTTGTATATGCAAATTTTAGGGCAATTTTTTAAAAATATATTTTTATTGATTTCAGAGAGAAAGGGAGATATAGAAACATCTATGATGAGAGAGAATGATTGATTGGCTGCCTCCTGCACACCCCCAACTGGGGATGGAGCCCACAACCAGGGCATGTGCCCTTGACTGGAATCAAACCCGGGACCCTTCAGTCCGCAGGTCGACACTCTACCCACTGAGCCAAACCAGTCAGGACTTTAGGGCAATTTTTAGTATATTAATAGGGTCATTTTGATTGGGTAGCTGTAACTGCCTTAAAGAACCCCTTGTTCACTGCCTGAGGGCCTGAGCCTGGAGCTGTCTCCACTTCCTTTGGAGGAACACTGGAGAGTATTATGGTGCTTACATGAATGAAAGCATGTGAGCCAGGCACTGTGCTAGGAGCCCTGCTCTGCTCTGTCCCAGCAGCTTCTTCCACAGCCTTGTTCTACAGAGAACAATCCAACACTGAGTTTCTTACAATGCTGGAGACCTCTTATCAGCACATTCCTTATCACATTGGACTAGAACTATGGATCTTAAGAATAAATCCCAATAGTGGGCTAATTTTTACGTTACATGGTATATCCCACTTCTCTGAGTCTTTTTATATCTCCCTCCAGTGTTTTTTGCCAGTTTACATTGCCCAGTCTGCAGTTCCTTCAACGCATAGTCCTTTTCTACCTTTAGCCGGCCCAAGCATTTCTCTGAGGGGTGGGGGGGGTGGGGGGCTGCACTGTGACTTAATCCTGGCTATCGCTCTGGTTGTTGGGAGTGGAGATTGGGGAATAAGGGGAGATATGTATTGTCTTGGAAGGCAAAAATCTCTACATCATCAAGCTTATACATACATCCCTGAGAGGACCATCAGCCTTTAGCAGAAAAGAATGGGTTACTCCTATAGGTCAACAGATTCAGGGAAATATGGAAATGTAAGATTTTCAAATGCATTGACCCAAATGACCCATTTTAAGTCTCAGCATCCTCCCCAACCATACCCCACCAATCAGGGCCGTGACCTTGGTGTAGCAGACGTGGTGGTGTTGAGCATTTAACTTCTTTGGAACTCTGCTAATCTAGTTTTTGGCCCAAAGATTTTGTTTGCCCTCTGGCTACAGGATTTGTGAATCATTTTATATGCTGCCAAAAAGACCCTCTGGCTTCCACACTTGCTCTGATACCGGCAATTAACCACCCTATTTTTCATTTTCTTTAATAATGTTTCTTTCATTCTGAATTAATGAGTTCTCCCCGCTACACACACACACACAGATGACCACTCAGTTCCAAAATTCTTACAATTACTATTTCCTAAAAACCCTGAAATACTGCATCTGTTGGTGCACCCCCTCCTGCACCCCATTGTAGTTTGCCACTGCTGAAGGTTTAACAATTGCCATAGCATTCTCGGGGCTACCAGTGCTCCACTGCCACCAAGGTTCTCATTAAAACGGGCTGGCAGGTGGCCCAACTTCAAACTTCCATCTTGGAGTCTTTTTCCAGGACCACTCTTGGTACCAACCCTCACTGGTTGAATTCCTCAGGAAACAGATTCTGAGATTTTCATGCAGGGTTTTTATTGGGTGGGTGGTACTCTATAAGCCAATCCCTGAGAGAGGTCAGGGAGGCAGGATTGGCCAAAATTTGTACTGTGAGGCCAAGTGCGGTAGAAATCTAGAGCCCACAGGACCTGTACCCTGGAGTTAAACATTATCAATCAGTTAACTTTTATTGAGTGTCTGCACCACCTGATTTCTGGGCAGGGCTCCAGGACCAGAAGATGACCATAGCTACATGGCAAGGTCCTCCCTCTCACCAAGGAGCAGACACTAATAAAGGTCTAAGCCATATGCACTCAGACGGGGTAGGAGCCCTGGCCAATGGGGCTCAGTTGGTTGGCCGATGCCAAAAGGTCGCCTGTGGGAGTCCTGGTCAGGGCACATGCCCCAAGTTGTGAGCTCCATCTGGTCAGGGTGCAGGAGGCAGCCGATGGATGTTCCTCTCTAAAATCAATAAAAACAGCCCGGCTGGTGTTGCTCAGTGGTTGAGCACTGACCTATGAACCAGGAGGTCACAGTTAGATGCCCAGTCAGGGCACAAGCCCGGTTTTCAGCTGGATCCCCACTGGGGGATGTGCAAGATGCAGCCCAGCAATGCTTCTCTCATTGATGTTTCTCTCTCTCCCTTCCTCTCTGAAATCAATAAAAAAAAAATACAGCCCTGACCGGCCTTTGGACCAAAGTGCCTGGGTTTGATTCCAATCAAGGCCATGAACCTTGGTTGCAGGCTCCTCCCCCCTGGGCCCTGTGAGGATCTTTCTCTTGCCTTTCCCCCTCTCTCTTCCACTCTAAAAATCAATGGGAAAATATCCTTGGTTGAGGATTTTATTTATTTTTATTTTTTTAAATATATTTTATTGATTTTTTACAGATAGGAAGGGAGAGGGATAGAGAGTTAGAAACATCAATGAGACGGAAACATCGACCAGCCGCCTCCTGCACATCTCCTACTGGGGATGTGCCCGCAACCAAGGTACATGCCCTTGAATGGAATCGAACCCGGGACCCCTCAGTCCGCAGGCTGACGCTCTATCCACTGAGCCAAACCGGTTTCGGCGGTTGAGGATTTTAAAAAGTAAAATCAGTAAAAACATATTTTTAAAAAACAGGGGGCAGGGGGTAAGGAAAGGCGTTTTCTTCAAACGTTTCTGCCCTTAAAACACAATCGGTTTACTCCGAGATGACGAAGCCAAAGGGAGGCCAAAGGGGGGACTAGAGAGCCTCAGGGCACCCTCTTGTGGCAAAAGACCGACTCCCCCCTCCCCAGTCGCCGTCCTCGGGGAGAAGCAGGTTGAAAGCGGAATTCCCCTCGGAAATGCCAGCGAGACGCTGCCTTGGCATTAAGTTCACAGTGATGTACAGGCCATGCAGGTTCGAACCCCGAAAACGGAGTGGGCCTCTTGAGCCCTTGGGCGGGTCGCGGGATTCCCCAGGCCCGCACCCCCTCCCCAACCGCCGGGGTAGGCGAGCAGCGGCCGACGCCACCCCCATTCCTCCCCTCCACCTCCCCCCTCCCCTCCCCCACTCCCACCCCCGGCGCGCAGAGCAGGCGGGTTCCGGCGCCAGGTCTCCTCCGGTCGGTCGCGGTCGGAGGCCCCAGGCCCCAGTGGGACGAGTGCGCGGGGACAGGGTGTGTTATATTTCCACCTCTTCAGTCACTCGGTGCCAATCCACGCATCCCTAAAAGCCTGTGCGTCTCCTCAGGAGGAAACGGCTCCTTTAACCTGGGGCGGGAGCGCGGCGGACCGGAAGTGACGTGCGCACCCGCGAATTCCCGCCCTGCCCTGCGCCCGCCCCTCCGTGGCGGGAACTGAGGCGGCTGTGCCGACGGTGGCAGATCAGTCGCCGTGTCCGGCCGCTCGGGGCTCCCTGAGCCTCATATTTTCAGGTTGGGGAACGGAGCTAAGACTGCGACACCGCCTCGTCCCTTCACCGTCTGGGAACCCCGGGAACCCCAGGAACGAGCCGGCAGCGTCCTCGCTCCGGGGTCGGGCGGCTGGAAGGCCCAGGCGGTGGCCCGGGAAACGCGCGCGGAAGAGCGGGGGGATCACAGGTGAACCAGCTGGAGAGCCCGGCGAAGGCCCGCCTTCTCCCCCGCTCCACTCCCGCGCCCGCCATGCCCCTGGGCTGGCGCGCACGGAGCTGGAACCCGCTGCGGCCCGGCTACCTCCTACCCCTTCGGCACATGGAGGCACAGAACGGCATCTTTCCGAGTCCTACTCTGGGATGTATTGCTGTAGAGCAGCCCGTGGCGGGGATGGAGGAATTCCACACATTGCAAACCTTAGCTGTTCACAGATATTAGCGTTGTGTTTTGTTTGAGGATATGCCCGCATGCCAACCACAGAGCTACGTGTTTGCACAGTTCTTTGATTTAACTCAGTTATGGAATAGGCCTTAGCTCCTTGTACAGGAGGGGAGCCTGTGTCTCAGATGGTAATTCAGTCACCAAATATTATGGAGCATCAGTCATGTACCAGTCAGTGCACCAGGCCTTGGGGACACAGCAGTGAAAAATACAGAATGGCCACTAACGCTGGGAATTTTCAGGCCAGCTAAGGATGCCTTTCTTTCCCTAAAAAACGTACTTCTGTTTACTTGATTGTTAATAGTGGTTATCTCCTGGGTGAGATTTTGCATGCATTTTTTAAACTCTGGCTTTTCTGCAATGTTTTCATTTCTTCAAATGAGCAAAAACAGCTATTTCCATTTTAACAACAGACTCCGGGATGGTAGGACTCCCCCCAGGAAAAAAAAAAAGCCGCTGAGTCCTAGCTGGTTTGACTCAGTGGATAGAGCGTCGGCCTGAAGGGTCCCGGGTTCGATTCCAGTCAAGGGCCCATGCCCTGGTTTCGGGCTCGATCCCCAGTGGAGGCGGGGGGCGGGGGCATGCAGGAGGCAGCCATCAATGATTCTGTCATCATTGATGTATCTCGCTCCCTCTTCCTTCCTCTCTGAAATCAACGTTTAAAAAAAAAAAAGCCTCTGAAGCCTGTAATTGGCGCTGCCAGTAAAACAGCCCCTTGAGTGGAGCTCTAGCTTCTGCCCTCCCATCCCCCCAAGTGGAGGTTCTCGTTTGTGGTCCCAGCACGCCTAATTGCTGAGCCCATTCCAGAGTCTGAACTGGAACTAGCCCATGATCGAAAGGGAAGAGGCTATAGAGGTCCATGTAGAGTTGGGCCATTAATGACATCATCTTTATCAAAAAGTTTGGAACTCAGATTTTTCTGACATAAGACTTATCTTTATTCTGTCACCTCCTCACTGTAAATATATTCTGATTTCCCTAAGCACTGTGACCTCTTTTATGTCCCTGCAGCCTTCAGCACAATGCAGTCAGAGGGTGCTAGGTCATGGGGTTGGTGTTCTTTATTAAATAAGTAATTATTGAATATCTTTGCACAAGGTTAAGTGCACTTTCAAGTGGTACTTCTTCATAATGGTTTCAAAAGAGCTTTTCTTTTTCTGTCTTGCACCTGGTCAGGGTGAAGTAACCATGCAGGCATTTTTAAAAGGCACATCCATCAGTACTAAACCACCGTTGACCAAGGATCGAGGAGTAGCTGCTACTGCTGGAAGCAGTGGAGAGAACAAGAAAGCCAAACCTGTTCCATGGGTGGAAAAATAGTAAGAACTCTTGTGTTTTTGTTGACATTGTTAATAATTACATTTCTAATTCCTTTTTTTTTTTTCTTAATAGGGGATGATTTGCTTGGTTTAGATGTTGTCCTTAAAAATCACACAAGGATGTAAGTCGTAGAACCTTGGTACTGAAAGGTACCTTAGAATGATCTAATTTAATTCCCTTATTTATGAACTAAGGTCTTCTGTATAACTCAGGTCTGTGGTTTTAGGGGCCAGGATACATACAGCATTGAAGAAAACATAATTTTTTTTATAAGCCAGCTTTTGATCAGGAGTTCTACTTAAGTTCAAGTAATCTATTCCCCTTTCATTACTAATAGGTGGAAATTGTTGAGTTTTTTTTTTTACACGTTTTTGGCAAAAACAACACTTGAAGTCACACTTAAATTTCAATCAGCTAAGTAGTAGTATGACAAATAGTAGTGTAACTCCGGGTGTAGCCTCAATTACCAAGGGTTTGCAGATTGCTTATAGACCCTAAAGGCCCTCATGTTTTGTTTGGCACCGACAATTCTTTTAAAAACGGCAAGTTTCACATAAAAATCTAGATATTTTTAAATTAAAAAAATATATTATGCAAGGGGAGAAAAAAAAATCTAGATTTTCAGCTCCTCAGGAGATTAGGCAGCCTCTAGATGCAAATTCTCACCTAACAGCAGTTAGATGGACTTGGATACTGCTTCTCATTTTGGAAAGGTCATGTGTTCCTCAATTCACCATAGTCCCTATTTTCTCTTGCCTTATACTCTGCTTTCTTCACTCTTGTTGTCTACCTGGCCTCTGCAAGTATTTGAATAAAAAACTGGTTTATAACATACACTGGTTTTTCTAGAAAACATTATCTAACATGAAATTCCTGCGTGGCACTGATCCAAGTACTTAGAAAAATATGACTCAGAGAGTTTCAGATTAGTAAATTAAGCACAAAGCCTAATCTTAGGGTTGGAAGTATATCTGTTCGAGCTTCTCTTAAAATCACTAGTTAATGATTTAAGAAGAAAATTATATGTTATACTTCATATTGATTAAACTTATTTTCTTAGCTCTAAGTGAAGTGAAAAAATATGCATTATTGTGCAGTTAAGTAATGGAAAAAATTGATATTAACCAATTAACAATGTAATAACTATATTTATGTAACTGTATTAACCAAAATAGTTGCTTATCATGAAGTTACTAAATAGTTCTCTCTTTTCACCTGAAGTGCATGATCTTGTAAAAATATAATACTTTGGACCCTGGCTCAGTTGACTGGAGCATTATCCCGAGCGCCAAAAGGTTATAGGTTTGATTCCCATTCAGGGCACATACCTAGGTTGAGGGTTCAGTCTCTGGTTGGAGTGCACATAGGAGGCAACCAATGTTTCTCTCTCACATTGATGTTTCCCTCTCTTTCCTCTTCTCCCCCCTCTCTCTCCCTCCATTCCTATCTCTAGAAAAATCAATAAAAAAATATATCCTTGGGTGAGGATAAATATATATATATCATATTACTTTCTAGGCAAGTGTTCACTTTAAATTTTTAAGCACTTGGCATTTGTAGTGTAATAAAATCCTTTTAATTTTGGTAAGCATAACATGCAAATTATGTGTCTGAAAAGTGAAAAATTACTTCACTCCTTTAGTATGTATTTGTTTAAGGCACAAATGGCGTTTCCACCTACTTCCAATTATGAAAGTTTCTCATTACCATTATGAGAATTATCATCAGTATTTTAGCAAAAAGAACACTTGGAAACTTCTCTGTGGCTACTATAATATACAAAATAACCATTGTTGTTGTTTTTTTTACAGTCGTCCAAAATGTGTGGATGAAGTTGCTTTCCAGGAAGAAGTGGTTGCAGTACTGAAAAAGTCTTTAGAAGGAGCTGATGTGAGTAGCAGATGATGTTTAATGTCATTGGGAGATTCAACCTCTTCCTTTATAACCTCCAACCCCTTTAAATACTATGATATGTATACAGCGGGGCCTTGATGACTGTTTGTACAATGGATGATTAGTTCAACAAGTATTTGTTGAGCATCTCCAATTCTATCCTATGGCATTGTTATATAGTACTCAAGTATAGACCATTGAGCAAGACAGACTGGATCTCTTTGCTCATGAACTTTTATTTTGGTAGGGAACAACAGAGTAAACATAGAAGCCAAATAAGTAAGAGAATTCTAGGTAACGATATGTGCTGTAAAGAAGAGTCAAGAGTTTCTGTGAAAGTATAATTTCTCTGGTAGTTACAAAATTGTCACAGGGCAATTTTGTACAGCATAGGAAATATAGTCAATAATTTTTTATGGTGCCATATGGGTACTAAACTTATGGGGGAGGGATCACTTCTTAAATTATATAAATGTCTAACCATGATGCTGTACATCTGAAACTAATATAAAATAATATTGAACATTAACTGTAACTGAAAAAGAAAAAGTATAATTTTTCACCTAATTTTAGGATTTGGTTTGAACTACCATACAAAAAAAGAGCATTTAATTCTGCTTATAGCATTGTGTCTCCTACTGTGATGAGTAGGATAAAATGTCCTTGAGTGACTTGTATTTTAGATCAGCGGTCGCCAACCAGTGGTCTGCAGACCACTGGTGGTCCGTGAGGTCTGAAAGGTTGGTTACCACTGCTTTAGATTATTCAGAGACAAACTAAACCCATATAAAGAATTAGCAGTTTAGGGACATACGTAATACTTTCAGCAATAAAGATTTAATTTAAAAAATTTAGCAGTTTAAAATTGCATATGATAAAGTGCTTTAAGAACTCAGTGGAAGAAACCAAGATGGCGGCATAGGTAAACACCGGAGATTGCTGCCTCGCACAACCACTTAAAAAATACAACTAAAAGACGGAACGGACATCATCCAGAACCACAGGAAGGCTGGCTGAGTGGAAATTCTACAACTAGAAGGAAAGAGAAAAGCATACTGAGACTCAGAGGAGGTGCGGTGCGGAAGTAAAATACAAAGGTGCGGAGGTGCATGCGGAGAGGGCTGGTGGCTGAGGACACGATTGTCTTTTTCAATTGGGAGGGAGTCTCAAGCTCTGAGCTCCAGTTCCGGGCGAGTCTCTGGGGACCCAAACTCATACTGGAGAAACGGGACTGTCTGGCATCGGTCGTAACTCGAGGGCAGCTTTCTCTCGGAGGCACTCGCAGCAATTGCCGGGTCCTCTGAGGGCAGGACTGAGAGCAGCCATACTGCTCGCTCCTCCCGCCCTGTTGATCTCCTGGGACCCCGCCCCGCCCAAGCCCTGCACGGAGGCTTTTGCATATGAAAGGCCTGGCCCTTTGTAATCTGAAAATTACTTAACAAACTGCAGCTGGCCCAAGGCCCCAGGGCAACTTGCATTGCTTTACAGCTGGCTTCTGCTGGGTAGCCTCAGGCAGAGGCTAGATTAGCACCTCCTTAGATCCAAGAGCCAATGTACCCAGTGGTCAGAGTGGGACCATCCAATTACAACTCCTCAGATCCATAAGGGACACACTCAGGGGGCAGACTCAGTGAGCACCAAAGCCCCACTGAAGCAAGTCTTGCCCCATAAGGGTGTTCTTCAGCACAGAAGTTCTCCCACCGTAGACACAGCTGATTCTCACAGCCAATTGGCCTGGAGGTCAATTCCTCCCAGTGTTACCTACAACAATCAAGGCTTCACTACAACAAGACTGTGCACAAAGCCCACAAGGGGGTGCAACAAGAGTGTCTACCTCAGGTAATTGGAGAGGCTGAGCCACTGGGCCCTATAGGACACTTAGCACAGAAAGTCACTCTATCGACACAGCGAAGCATAAAAAATGCCGAGACAAACAGGACACAAATGACAGAAATGGAGGAAAGCAAACTACTGGATATAGAGTTCAAAACTACACTTTTAAGGTTTTTCAAGAATTTTCTAGAAACCGCCGATAAACTTAATGAGACCCTCAAGAAATCTAGTGAGACCCTTGAGGTTATGAAAAAGGACCAACTAGAAATTAAGCATACACTGACTGAAATAAAGAATATTATACAGACTCCCAACAGCAGACCAGAGGATCGCAAGAATCAAGTCAAAGATTTGAAATGCGAAGAAGCAAAAAACACCCAACCAGAAAAGCAAAATGAAAACAGAATCCAAAAATACGAAGATAGTGTAAGGAGCCTCTGGGACAGCGTCAAGCGTACCAACATCCAAATTATAGGGGTGCCAGAAGAAGAGAGAGAGCAAGATATTGAAAACCTATTTGAAGAAATAATGACAGAAAACTTCCCCTACCTGGTGAAAGAAATAGACTTACAGGTCCAGGAAGCGCAGAGAACCCCAAACAAAAGGAATCCAAAGAGGACCACACCAAGACACATCATAATTAAAATGCCAAGGGCAAAAGACAAAGAGAGAATCCTAAAAGCAGCAAGAGAAAGACAGTCAATTACCTACAAGGGAGTACCCATACGACTGTCAGCTGATTTCTCAACAGAAACTTTGCAGGCCAGAAGGGAGTGGCAAGAAATATTCAAAGTGATGAATACCAAGAACCTACAACCAAGATTACTTTATCCAGCAAAGCTATCATTCAGATTTGAAGATCAGATAAAGAGCTTCACAGATAAGGAAAAGCTAAAGGGGTTCATCACCACTAAACAAGTATTATATGAAATGCTGAAAGGTATCCTTTAAGAAGAGGAAGAAGAAGAAAAAGGTAAAGATACAAATTATGAACAACAAATACACATCTATCAACAAGTGAATCTAAAAATCAAGTGAATAAATAATCTGATGATCAGAATAAACTGGTGATTATAATAGAATCAGGGGCATAGAAAGGGAGTGGACTGACTATTCTTGCGGGGGTGAAAGGGGTGTGGGGGATGAGGGAAGAGACTGGACAAAAATCGTACACCTATGAATGAGGACAGTGGTGGGAGGGCAAGGGCGGAGCATGGGAGGGGAACCAGGTAGAGGGAGCTATGGTGGGAAAAAAGAGGAACAACTGTAATAATCTGAACAATAAAGATTTAATTTAAAAAAAAAGAACTCAGTGAAGGAAGAGAAAAAGTTACAGATGAAAGTGGTATTTGGTTTTTGCTTTATTCCCACGATTGGCTTCCTTCCTCGTAACCTGGCTGCTTTGAAGTAGAGATTCTTTTGGTTTTTGCTGCCATTGTTTTCTTCCTGGAATTACAGTACAACAATGCATATTTTGAAAGAAGTTATATTTCATATTTTTCTTGCCATAGCCAGTGTTGCTCAGAGGTTAGAGCAGCAGCCAGCACACCGAAGGGTCATGGATTTGGTTCTTGGTCAAGGGCAGGTACTTGGGTTACAGGTTTGATTCTGGCCCCGGTCAGGGGGCAGCGTGTGGGAGGCAAGTGATTAATGTCTCTCTCACATCAATGTTTCTCTCTCTCTGTTTCCCCTCACCCCCCTCCCACCTTCGTCCCTTCCACTCTCTCTAAAAATCAATGGAAAAAATATCCTTGGGTGAGGTAGGAGAAGTGGTGAGCAGATCATGGATGTCCTTAAAGATTATGGTAAACCAGTCGATTTCTTTGTCTGCTTCTGTTTTCCTACATGCGAGTATGAAGCCAGTGAATAGTTTTAAGTAACAAGCAGGGTAACATTGATTTGGGTGAAGAATGGATGGGAAAGGGTGGAGGTTAGGGGTTAGGCAAGAGTAGAAGCAAATAAACTACTGCCCAGTTTCCTATGTGCAATTATTTCCCTACATGAAAGGACATAGTGAAGAATGTACAGTTTTGTAAGAGAGCTCATTAGAAATTTTTACATTTATTAATCTGTACCGCAGATCAATTGCCTGCTTTATAAGGAGCCAAGCTAGCTATACTTAAGGTATAAAAGAAGATAACCAGTTATTTAACCTTATCCTTCTTTCTCTAGTGAATTCTCCTTGATATATGCAGGCATCCTACAGAGTACATGATCATGATGTGGAGTACTGCCTGGCATTTAATAGATGCTTAGTTCTTTTAACCTTTCTGTTTTTGCAATCTCAGCTCATTCAAAGCCCTAATATGTTTTTTCACTCCTTTTTCCTCAGTATTGGCCAAATCCAATTACTCCTTCATTCTATTTCCACTTTGAAATAACTGACATCTTTATCAAGTATAAAATCTTGCCTAATGCTGAGCAAAGGGGTGGAACAGGGACCTGGCAAAAGCCTGGGGTTCTGAAATAAAAGGTTTCTAATTTCAGCTTTGAAAATTCCACCTAAGTAAATTAGGAATAGAACAATCATAAATATGATTCAATTTAAGGTATTAGAAAAACATATTGGGGAAGAAGTCATCTATCTTCTATATATATATATAAAAGACTAATATGCTAAGTGTGCCTCCTACCTTCCAACTGGTCGCTATGATGCGCACTGACCACCAGGGGGGCAGTTCTCAGGTGACACACCCCAAAACCAGAGAGGAGGAAGCCCAATTCCTCCAGGGGCAAGCAATTCCACCTTAGGCCATAGGTTATGTTGTTGCTGGGACACTGTTGGCCCTGAATCTGGTTTACTGCACACTTGCCACTTGCATTTGCGTTCCACAGACTGTACAACAGCAACTTTACAGAGTGCCCTCTCGCACTCCGGTGCCCCTTGGGATGTCAGAGAGTTGGTTTCGGCCCGATCCCCGCATGCCAGGCTGAGGGACCCCACCTGCCGGAGGGACTTCGCTCACTCCACAGACACTGGGGAGGGACCGTGGAAGGTTGGCTCCAGGGCGTGTTGGCCTGTCTCTCCCAGTCCCGCCCTGCCAGCCACCTTCTAATTAATTTCCTTTCAACTTGCACGAATCCATGCACTGGGTCACTAGTAGTATTATATGGAAAAGCAGGATTTAGAACTGAATACTATGGTACCAGTTATATTAAGAAACCTGTTTATTAAGATACTATAGACCCAATACACAAATTCATGCAAGGGGCTCGGCCCTCGCAGCCACAGCTGGCCCTTGCAGCCCCGGCTTCATCTGGAATGTTGTCCGGACGGTCCTTCGGCTGTCCAGTCTAGTTAGCATATTAGCTCTTTATTATATAGGATATGTACCCTCTCAATTGGGGAAATTACTGCAGTGTTCCAGACATTTTCAGTCTTCCTTTATTTGTGCCAGAGTACAATTTAAAAATAATTTCATTTCTACAGCTCCCCAATCTCCTGTTTTATGGGCCACCTGGAACTGGAAAAACATCCACTATTTTGGCAGCAGCGAGGGAACTCTTTGGGTAAGTTGAAATATCTTTTTTTTTTTTAGACTTGACACTGAAAATCTCTGGTACTGTTTTTCTTTCTCTAAAAATTTGCATTTGGTTTTTCTGTGAAATTGTTGGGTTTGTTTTCATTACTGAATTTTTTATTAATCCAGTGGGTTGATTTCCAGTTCCCCTGCTCCAATAAATTTGCTTGCCTACATCTTTTGTGACCTTCATTCTGAACCTTATTCAGTGTTTGAATATATTACACACAGGGAGCCCCATGAGATAGATAGATAGATAGATAGATAGATAGATAGATAGATAGATAGATAGATAGATGATAGATATTTTAATCCTTATTTCAGAGAGGAAGGGAGAGGGAGAGAAACATCAATGATGAGAGAGAATCATCGATCGGCTGTCTCCTGCACGCCCCCCACTGGGGATCGAGCCCGCAACCTGGGCATGTGCCCTTGATCAGAATCAAACCCAGAACCCTTCAGTCTGCAGTCCAATGCTCCATCCACTGAGCCAAACTGGCAAGGGCTTATCACTATTTATTATGATTTTGGGCCCAGAAAACCCAGCCTGTCTCGTCACATTGATAATTTCTTTTCTTTTAATTAAATCTTTATTGTTCAGATTATTACATTTGTTCCTCTTTTTCCCCCCATAACTCCCCTCCTCCCAGTTCCCGCCCCACCCTCCACCCTCACTCCCCACCCACTGTCCTCATCCATAGGTGCACGATTTTTGTCCAGTCTCTTCCCTCATCCCCCACACCCCTTTCCCCCCCTACAAGAATAGTCAGTCCATTCCCTTTCTATGTCCCTGATTCTGTTATAATCACCAGTTCATTCTGTACATCAGATTATTTATTCATTTGATTCTTAGATTCACTTGTTGATAGATGCATATTTGATGTTCATAATTTGTATCTTCACCTTTTTCTTCTTCTTCCTCTTCTTAAAGGATACCTTTCAGCATTTCATATAATACTGGTTTGGTGGTGATGAACTCTTTTAGCTTTTCCTTATCTGTGAAGCTCTTTATCTGACCTTCAATTCTGAATGATAGCTTTGCTGGATAAAGTAATCTTGGTTGTAGGTTCTTGGCATTCATCACTTTGAATATTTCTTGCCACTCCCTTCTGGCCTGCAAAGTTTCTGTTGAGAAATCAGCTGACAGTCGTATGGGTACTCCCTTATAGGTAACTGAGTTTCTTTCTCTTGCTGCTTTTAAGAGTCTCTCTTTGTCTTTTGCTCTTGGCATTTTAATTATGATGTGTCTTGGTGTGGTCCTCTTTGGATTCCTTTTGTTTGGGGTTCTCTGCGCTTCCTGGACCTGTAAGTCTATTTCTTTCACCAGGTAGGGGAAGTTTTCTGTCATTATTTCTTCAAATAGGTTTTCAATATCTTGCTCTCTCTCATCTTCTGGCACCCCTATAATTCTGATGTTGGTACGCTTGAGGCTGTCCCAGAGGGTCCTTACACTATCTTCGTATTTTCGGATTCTTTTTTCATTTTGCTTTTCCGGTTGGGTGTTTTTTGCTTCTTCGCATTTCAAATCTTTGACTTGATTCTTGCGATCCTCTGGTCTGCTGTTGGGAGTCTGTATAATATTCTTTATTTCAGTCAGTGCATGCTTAATTTCTAGTTGGTTCTTTATCACAACATTGAGGGTCTCATTAGATTTCTTGTAGATCTCATTAAGTTTATCGGCAGTTTCTAGAAAATTATTGAAAGACCTTAAAATTGTGGTTTTGAGCTCCAATTCTGACATCTGTGTCCTGTTTCTTTGTCTCTGCATTTTTTATGCTTTCTTGGTGCACCCCCTAGTGGTCTTTGTGTGCAGTCTTGTTGTAGTTAAGCCTTGATTGTTGTAGGTAATTGCTACTTGACCTCCAGGCCAACTGGCTGTGCGAATCAGCTGTGTCTGCAGTGGGAGAACTACTGTCCTTTAGGGAGGTGCAAATCTAGCCTTTGCCTGAAGCTATCCGGCAAATGCCTCTGTGCAGGGCTTGAGCGGGGTGGGTCCCCGGGTATCAAAAGGGCGGGTGGAGCAAGCAGTTATGGCTGCTCTCGGTCCTGTCCCCAGGGCTCTGCCTCTCAGAGTCCCAGCAACTGCTGCAAACCTTGAAGAGAAAGCTGCCTTCGAGTTCTGACCGAAGCCAGACAGTCTCGCTTCTCCCGTTTGAGTCTGGGTCCCTAGAGACTCGCCCGGAGTTGGAGCTCAGAGTCTGAGGCTCCCTCCTGATTGAAACAGACAACCGAGCCCTCGGCCGCCAGCCCGCTCCGCATGCACTCCGCACCTTAGTATTTCACCTCTGCACTGCGCCTCCTCTGAGTCTCGGTATGCTTTCCTCTTTCCTCCTAATTGTAGAACTTCCATTCAGCCAGCCTTCCTGTGGTTCTGGATGATGTCCGTTCCGTCTTTTAGTTGTATTTTTGAAGTGGTTGTTCAAGGCAGCAAACTCCGGCGTTAACCTATGCCGCCATCTTAAAATACCACATCGATAATTTCATCACACTCTTAATTACTGCGTTAATATGTTTCGTATGATCAAATCTGTTGTGTCTGATGCTACTGACCACACCTCCTCTTGAGTTCCTTCTTGCACTGGCTTTCCTAGGCCCTGCCTCTGGAGTGGCTGGACCAGATTCTTACCCTCAGGCATCCTGAGTGTAAGCAGAGTGTATGGTCGCCGATACAGTATGATTCTAGGTATAGCAGAAAATCTCTGTGAGCCACCTTCCTAGAGTCCTCTTCTTAGATTCTGTCTTGGCTTAGCCAACCATTGTTTAGGAGCCCTCTACCAAGAAAGATATTAGCCTGGGTCTGATACCCATGCAACATGCTCCAATATAGCAAAGATATCTTTTTGGAAAAATACTTAGGAAAAATAAAACAAATTTAAATCTAGTTTTTTTATTAAAAGTATGTATAAATAAGTAGAAAAATTACTAGAAGGAACCTTTCAAAATAGTGCTTTGGGTGTGCCAGTTGTTTTAATTATCTTTTGATTTCTCAGATTTCCCTACAGTGAACTACTTTTAATAATTTTCTTAAAAACTCACTTTAAGCCCTTGCCGGTTTGGCTCATTGGATAGTGTCAGCCTGCAGACTGAAGGGTCCTGGGTTCGATTCCAGTGAAGGGCACATGCCCAGGTTGGGGGCTTGGTCCCCAGTAGGGGGCGTGCAGGAGGCAGCCCATCCATGGTTCTCACTCATTATTGATGTTTCTATCTCCCCCTTCCTCTCTGATAGCAATACAAATATAATAAATAAATAAACTCACTTTAACCATTTGAGTCCCAAGCAGCGCAATTGCGCTGCTTGGTATTTCTCGACATAAAATAAAGCAAGCGCTATCACGCTGTTTGGGTCTTTTCGTACTCATTTAGAGAAAGCGCGGTTGCGCTGTTTGGGATTCTTCGACAGTGTTTTTTCAATACCCCCTGGGACTCAAACGAATCGTATGTTTTCTCGACATAAAATCTCAGCAGCGCAATCGCGCTGCTTGGGACTCAAACGGTTAAAATAACCATTCATGTTTTAATCTAGTAATTTTATGTATAGCAAGCTACCCTATGGAAATAATTCAAAATGTACTGTATTGCAGCATTATTTAAAATTGCAATATACTTAAAACTAAACGTCTAACAATAGAAGGATGCTAAATAAGTAAATGGTGGTACAATTTTAGGATGAAATGTCATATAGCTATTAAAATGGCATTTCGGGAGCTTCACAGCTATAAAAATAGTATTTTGATTGGTTGCAAGATGGCAAGATGATTATGATACAATACAAAGTGGAAAATTGATTTAAAATTTTATATATTATGTGATATTGTTTACCTATATTTTTTAAAAAGCATGGAACAAAGCCAAAATGTTAACTGCATGTCTCTGCAAAAGAGATAATACAGAAACAATTGTGTACCTTCTATCCATATTGTTTAGTAGGTGGATTTTAAACTACTGCAAGATGTGCAAATGTTAAAATGTGGTTAAACCTCAGTTACTTACATGCTCTATGACATTTCATATTTGCTTCATTTTTACATAGGCATGAACTTTTTCGATTAAGAGTTCTTGAGTTAAATGCATCTGATGAACGTGGAATACAAGTAGTTAGAGAAAAAGTGAAGAATTTTGCTCAATTAACTGTATCAGGAAGTCGTTCAGAGTAAGTTTCTCTTCTCCATACCATGTCATTGTATTGTTTAAAATACATATATCTGCCAAATTTACAACTTTTTTCATATTGGATCATATTTTTATCTACATTATTTAAAGCCAGAAATAAACTTTCCGTTATAATTAATTTTGTTTAGCTGTCAAGGGTTTTCCACTGATATTTTGTCTAAGGAGTATTTATTAATTCAAATGTGATAGTTGGGTGGTGCACACATAACAAAAATCCTGCTTTTGCTATTGTGTTATTTTTAAAAAGTCAACTATCTTAAGCTTCAGTGTATATTTCATAGTAGGGTGACCGTATAAGTTCTTGTCCAAACTGGGATGCTTTTAGAATGAAAAAGGGGGTATCTATAATAATAAAAGTGTAATAGGCTAATTAGACCAGAGTCCTTCCAGACATCCTTCGGTCCTTCTGGATGAAGCCGGGGCTGTGAGGGAAGCCCGGGTCCTGGGTACCTGCCAGAAGCTGGAGGGAAGCCCAGGTCCCGGGTGCCTGCTGGCAGCTGGAGGGAAGCCGGTGCAGGCAGTTGGGGGAAGGAAGGCCTACACTTGCATGAATTTCGTACATTGGGCCTCTAGTTAAATAGGACTGCCCTAAATTAAACAGGGTTGTTTAGCCAACTACTTATACTCCTCAGGTGGCAAAGTTTCAAGATTAAATTTTTGGTTCCTGGCATATATTTAAATTTATATCAGAGCACACATTAAGAATTTATAGGAAGTGAATGACTAATTTTTTATATCCACCTTGAATTGACAATGCATATAAATCATATCTGATAAGGCACTTATATCAAGAATATATGAAGAACTCTTACAACTCAATAATAAAAAGACAACCTAATTTTAAAATGGGCAAGGTATGTGAATCAACAGTACTTCAAAGAAGATACACAAATGACTAATAACACATGAAAACATCATCCACATCATTATCCATTAGAGAAATGCCATTCAAAACCATGATGAGATGCCACTTTACACTCACCAGGATGGCTATAATAAAAAATACAGAACATAATAAGTATTGGCAAGGATGTGGAGAAATTGGAACCCTTATACATTGCTGGTTGTAAAGTAAAAAGATTCAGCCACTTTGAAAAGTTTGGCTAGAAGTTAAACATAGTTTTACCACATGACCCAGTAATTCTACTCCTATGTATGTACCCACAAGAAATGAAAACATGTCTATTCAAAACATGTACACAAATGTTCATAACAGCATTATTCATAATGGTCAAAACATGAAAATGACCCAAACACCCATCAACAAATGAATGGACAAATAAAATGGAGTATATCCATTTGCCATATTATTTAAAAGGAATGAAGTAATAGCACTGCAATAGGGATGAACCTTGAAAATATGCTAAGTGAAAGAAGTCAATCATAAAAGACAACATGTTAGGTTGACATCCTATGATTCCATTCATATGAAACTAGAGGCCCTTTGCATGGATTCGAGCACCGGTGGGGTCCTTTGGCCTGGCCTGTGGGGATAGGGCTGAAACTGGCTCTCTGACATCCCCTGAGGGCTCCTGGATTGCGAGAGCATGGTTCTCCAGTGAGGCATCCGGGAATCGGTCTCCCTCCTCTCTGTTTCCAGGTGCATCATTCGAGAACTGCTGCTGCCAAGTCACCGCAGCTTGGCAGCTCATATGTTGAGCATCTGCCCCCTGGTGATCATTACTGGTCAGACAGTCACTTAGGCTTTTATATATAGAGATGTCCAGAATAGGCAATTTTGGAGACAGAAAGTAGAGATCATGATTGCCTGTGGCTGAGTTGGGAGAGGAGTAATTCTTCTTGGGCATGAGACTTTTCTTTGGGAGGATGAGTATGTTATAAAATTAGATTGTAATGATGATAGGTGAATTATTACTCCTATGTGTTTCTCTGAATCAGTGGGAAGCCATGTCCTCCTTTTAAGATTGTGATTCTGGATGAAGCAGATTCTATGACCTCAGCTGCTCAGGCAGCGTTAAGACGTACCATGGAGAAAGAATCTAAAACCACACGATTCTGTCTCATCTGTAATTATGTCAGTCGGTATGTATATTGCCTTAAAGATAGATGCTAGGCAGCCTTATTTTGCTAACCCTCAGTTAAGGAGAGAAAAAAAAAAATCAATGTTTCAAGCCTACATTAATATCTCCTTCATCAAATCTTGATAAAAATGAGTTCTTTGGGGGAAATCCTTCTTTTAGACACTGACTTGTTTTGTCCAATATTTTATAGAATAATTGAACCTCTGACCTCCAGATGTTCTAAATTCCGCTTCAAACCTCTGTCAGATAAAATTCAACAGCAGCGATTACTAGACATTGCTGATAAAGAACATGTCAAAATAAGCAATGAGGTAAGTACTAATTATTAGTTCTTGTACTTACTAATTACGTTGATGAATGCATATGAAGAGGCCCTGAAAGGAGTCATGTGTGTTGCTTCAATTTCTGATGCCAATTCTTCAGGCAAAATTAAGCTAAATGAACAATTGGAATGTATAGGAATTACAGATTTAGTCTTTCTGTTACTATTAGCAATTTATTATCTATTAGTATTTTAGAGACCCAAAACTGGGGCAGATTTCATACATTTAATGCAAATTCTGCAGCAACAAATCTCTATAATGACAAGATTTTAATCTCCTAGCTAATAACTCCAAAAACTTATTTGGTATGAAATTCTGATACAGTGATAGAATATATAGGCCTTTTATTCATTATAACAGAATTCAACCATAATTTGAATTTTCTTTATGTAATCAAAAAGGTATGATGAGAAGTATTGAACATCTCTGCAATTTTCAAAGGCAAGAGATCTCTATCCTTCCATTGGACTGAAGCTGTCTCCATGAATTCTGCCACTATAGGACTAATAATATTCCCTCAAAAATTGAAATAAATTTCATTTCTCCCCAGTAACTCTTGGCTAAAATATAGTGCTTTTCACTTTATTAAGATCAAAAAACTTTAACTGGTCATCATAGGTAAAAAACACACAAAAACACTTTTTCTTTTCAGGGACTGTCTTGTCTTGTTCAAGTATCAGAAGGAGACTTAAGAAAAGCCATTACATTTCTTCAAAGTGCTACTAGATTAACAGGTGGGAAGGAGGTCACAGATAAAGTGATCACAGACATTGCTGGGGTAAGAACATTAGTTATTCTGAAATTCTTTTAGGCAGCTTTTAGAAAATTTTCACCTAACAAGTATATATAGAATGCTTTGTTATGTGCTTAGTCCACTCAGGGTGCTGTAACAAAATACCAGACTGAGTGGCTTACAAACTATAGAAATTCATTTAATAGCTCTGGAGTCTGGGAAGTCCAAGGTCAAGGTGCCCAGATTCTGTGTGGTGAGGACCCACTTTCTAGTTCTTGGACTCCTAATTCATAGCTGGCTTGCATCTTCCTATGGCAGAAGGGAGCTCCCTGGGCCCTTTTATGACACTAATCCCATTCATGATGGCTTCACCCTCATGACCCCATCACCTCCCAAAGGCCTACCTCCAAATATTTTAGGGATTTTTTTTTTCAACATAAATTGGGGAGGAGGTTACATTTAGTCTATAGCATGTGCCAAGTACTGCGCTAGGAACAGTACTAAGTATGCTGCAGGGATCTTTATTGTTTAAACTAGTACAGATGTCCCATACCTCCAACATCCATCCCCCCCTCTGATGTCTTTTCTTATAAATGTCGTCCATTCTGACAAAGGTCATATAATAAAGGCACATGCATTTTCAACTTTAAGAGAAATCTTTTGTTAAAGAAAATAGAGGGCCACACCGGTCTTTGAAGACTCCTTTCAGGCTTTATTGCATTTTCATACCATAATTAAACAGCATTAGTCCCTTTTTTCTGGGCACTAGGCATTATTTAAACCAATCTCTCTAGAGGCATCTTTCCTTGGAGAAAAGGCACTTCCCTTAAAATGACTTTAACCACTGCTTTGAGGAATGACAGCCACTAGGATGTCAGCCACTGTTAAAACCAGAAAGCCCAAACTTGAGAATATTTTCAAGGATTTTAAAAGTAATGTATCAACCTTATTGCATTGTAGTGACTGGACTAATGTATTGGCATAGCCACCTGAAGAGCATATTTAAATTTCAGGTCCAGTACTTTTTTCTGGATCACCTGTCAGCTCAGAATTGAGTATAAGGCTTGGAGAAGACCCTTTTCCAGTTCCTTGCCTTTTCAACTCTGGATTGACTTATCAGGATAGCAGCTGTCAGCTTTATGTCATTTGTTAGGAAATGTCCTTTTACACAGTGAAGCAACCAAGCATGAACAGAAGGGAGTGGGCACAGGCTTGGCAGTTATGTCCAAACTGCCTTCCCCCCAAAATTATCTTTTTAGGTAATACCAGTTGAGACAGTTGATGGAATATTTGCTGCATGTCAGAGTGGCTCTTTTGACAAGCTAGAAGCTGTGGTAAAGGTAAAAGTTTAAGTTACTTTACTAACTTTGGGGAAGAGAAAATTAAATGTTGACACCATGTAATTTTGTTACAGGACTTAATAGATGAAGGTCATGCAGCAACTCAGCTTGTAAATCAACTTCATGATGTAGTTGTAGAAAATGATGCTCTTTCTGATAAACAAAAGTCCATTATTACAGAAAAACTTGCTGTAAGTAGGCACCTTTGCACATTTCAGCAAGACTTCTACCTAAAAGGGACAATTATCTAACCTTTTTTCTTTTTCTTGTAGGATGTTGACAAGTGTTTAGCAGATGGTGCTGATGAACATCTGCAATTGATTAGCCTCTGTGCCATTGTGATGCAACAGTTAACCCAGAATTGTTAAAACCATATTCAATTCATACTGTTTTACAATAAAATAATGAAAGCACCTTTAAAGTGAATATACAATTTATTTAACATTCAAACTTCATTAAGACATGTGCAATATGGCAATTTTACTGGGGGGTTAACCCTACCTAGGATATGATTGCTTGCTGGGGCTTAGCAACAGGGTCCAGTTCACACTTAGCACTAATTAAATACTTTATTGAATAAATACAATACCAAACAAAATGCATTCAAATGCTTCCTAAAAAAAAAAAAATCAATTTTAAAGGCCTTCTATTCAGGCTAATGACAAACACAATAAAGGCAGATAAGCTAGTTTAACATAATTGGCTGATTTTATACAGCACTTATATCTTTTAGTCCACAAGTATATTATTAAATGATAGAGAACATCTAATACAACCATTTCTACATAACTAGGAAATAAATTTCTAAGAAAAAAAGATTTTACAGACCCCATCTTTTGTACCCAACCCCAACAGTCTAACTCTAGAGGATAAAGCCAATGACTCTCCTCACAAGAGCTCACGACTAAAGTCGCTTTGCTATCAAAATCTGTATTTCTGATCCGTTATGAGCATTGAGACAAGATTCAAATATTCCCAAAGAAAGAAGCACAATGCACGTTGTGATCGCCTAGTCAGCAACAGCGAGCACTGCATTCAAAACTATCTCATCCCGGGAATTAAATAAGGTCAGCCACATTCATTGGCATTTCCTCCACTGTAGTATTGTAGAAAGTCTCAATGTCACGAAGAATCCTCTTGTCTTCTTCAGTAACAAAGTTTATAGCCACACCTTTCCTCCCAAATCGACCCCCTCTGCCAATTCTGTATAAGAAAAGAAAACAGCAATTAGAATGTTACTTCTAACAAAGCATGAGTTACTGAACATGATGATCCACTTGTTAACCATCAGCTGCTGTTTACTTATCAAGGTTATAGTTCGTGCTTCTAATTGGAGCACTATCTGCTAATCAATATCTAGAGGGAAAAAAATCTTCCTTTGCAGTTAGTGCCAAAAGGATTCAAAGCTTGTCTGGCTGCAAAATGAGATTTTATCAGATGCCTTGAGCATTGTTATTTTTAAAGCAGATGACAGTATTGTGTTTGGGGTAGTGAAATTAAAAAAGCCCATACCAAAGTGGGCCAGCCAAGAGCAGAAGTCAGCCTGGGACAGATATAAACACACCGGGATGAAGCAAAAAAGAACAGTTATATAATCCATATCGGCGCACTTCTGGAACTGTAAACTGTAAACACAAATGCTGCACGGTTAACTATTGTCTAAGCTTACAACTTTTTCCAGTGGGAAAACAAGTATTTGGTATGGTAACCCAAACTCATCACTGCTTTTTGCTCAGTTTCACACGTTATAACTCAAATTACTCAAACGTGTTTACCTCCAAAGCAACTTTCTACCTTCCTGATAGAAACCAGACAATATAAAACCACCTAATAGGCTAATATACAAAAATGCCTTGGCTGGAGCAACTTAAAATATAAAATAATCATTGACAAAAGAAAAACAAATATAAATACCGACTCGCTCTTTATTCAAACAGTGTGCTGTTTCGCTTATGATTCCACGTCCTAAATTACGTCAACGCCGTTTCTGAGTGCCATCTCGTCATCAACTGCTGCTATCGACTCCTGTTTTTAAAAAGTCTTTTTTTACATCATATAACAAAGTACAATTCAATTTATTTAGGGATAAAGCCACTATAACTAAACCAGGGACCGCTCAAATTGCTACCAGACAACACCAAGAAAATCCCAACTATAATCACCAAGAAAGCACATGGACACACAAGAGCATCACAAAAAATAAAGCTCAAAAATAATCTAAGACCAACAGATCTAAAACTAAAACAATCTAATCCATAGGTATGAAAGTCCACAATTTGGACAATGTTTGCAATTGTTTTCCCACTGCATGACCAATGTTCCCAAGTACAATTTTTAATTTCATCTTACCAATTTGACACTGTCTACTGAATCAGTTCCCTGACTTGAAGTTACCTTTCAGATAAATCATTAGAAAATACATGAGCTCATTTTACCAATACAGTAACAATCAAGGTGCCATCTACTCACCTGTGAATATAGTTTTCACGATTGGTAGGTAGATCATAGTTTATAACCAATGACACTTGTTGCACATCAATCCCACGAGCCTGAAATACAATGGTATGGTATTAAAATTCTAGTTGATAAACTAGAGACTTAAGTAATGTAGGCCACAAAATAGTAATGGGCTATATGTTTAGTGATATAGTCCACTGTGGAGTGTGGTCTTTATTCTCCCAAAGAGCCTAAGGTGGTAAAGGTTATTAAAAAACCTTCACCCAAAATAAAACTTTTGGTAGATCAAAACGAGCAGCTAAGATTTACTTACCAACAAGTCAGTAGTGATCAGAACACGGCTTGACCCTGATCGGAATTCCCTCATGATAACATCTCTTTCCTTCTGGTCCATGTCACCATGCTGCAAATTAACAAACCTTCATTCAAGAATCACCAGTCAGTCAATATTTATTTTAACAATTATGTATGAGACCAAGCGTCCCTGGCTGCTACAGGAGTCTAGCAGACAGGTATAGTTAAGAAACAACTTTATTTTGAGCAGGGGGAACGACAACACAGCACTTAACAGCTATATTGTAGTCTGAATCCTGCTTTAATAAGAGAAGACATTGTAATTACCACTATTAGAGAACACCTCTTACCAGAGCAGAAACTGTGAAGTCCCTGGCATGCATTTTCTCAGTGAGCCAGTCCACTTTGCGCCTTGTATTGAGAAAAATAACGGCCTGTGTAATCGTCAGTGTCTCATATAAGTCACAAAGTGTGTCCAACTTCCATTCCTACAATATTTCAAAGAAAAAGTTAAGTCATTAAAATTTTGTTTCCAACTTACAATGAAAAATTCGCTGTTAGGCTAATCAGAAGACATGTTGCACCAAATTTTAAGACAAAGGACACTGGACATTAAGAAAGAGGTCCACCCCAGTCTTTATCATCTAGTGCAGTTACTTTTCTTCTTGTGTGTACTCTGCTAGCATTATTACAAAAACCAAGATGTGATCCTAGTTTCTGCAATTTTAGCACAGTGCTTATACAAGAAGGTCAAAAATCTGGCTACAGTTTTTATGTTTAGTAATTAGACAAGTTACCTCTCTTTCAACATTAATATAAAACTGTTTGATTCCTTCAAGGGTCAATTCTTCCTTTTTCACCAGAATTCGAATTGGATCTCTCATAAATTTTTTGGTCACCTCCAACACATCAGTTGGCATAGTGGCAGAAAGCAACACAACCTTAAAAAAAAATAACAACAAAAGGATGTTATCACACAAGTTGTTAGCTGAACTTTTACAATACTCAAAAAACCATGTTTGAGGCCAAGCGTCTCTGCCTAGCTATGGAATTGTGCTAGACAGAGATAGTATGCATCAATTGCTTTAAGCAGGGGGAACGACAATAAAACACTTCAGTTGTATTGTAACAGTTCCTGCATTAAAAACCTGCCCTCCAGCTATTGGAGGGCGTGAAATAAAGCTCACCTGAATACTTGTATTTAGTTTTTGGAAAATCTCATAGATTTGATCCTTAAATCCCCGGCTCAACATTTCATCTGCTTCATCCAAAACAAACATTTTGATCCATTTTGGAGCTGTTAAAAAGAAAATCATACTATCATCCCTAAATTCTCAAGTTTTATTATAGTAAAAAAGTTTATGCTCAATTGACAGCAACACTTACAAAGATATCTTCTGTTTAGCATATCAAACACTCTCCCTGGTGTACCAACAACAATATGTGGTGCTTCCGCCTGCAGTTTTTGCATTTCATTGCGAACATTGGTTCCACCAATGCAGGCATGACAAGTTGCTCCCATATAGTCTCCAAGTGCCAGAATGACCTTTTGGATCTAAAAGGCAAACAGAATTACAGATTGTGACTAAACTTCCAAAGCATAATGGCAAATATGTGGTCTACACACAGCTTTTATGCATGCATAGCACTTAACTACTTCTAAGCTCAAAATGAAGACTGATCTAACTGCTTGGAGGTATAATTCCCTTGAAATGTCTTGTGCCTTGTCAAACTTGGGATCCTATTGTCCCAGGTACCTGCTGGATGAAGAACTAAAAACATGTCCTTTATTCTCCATTGTGTAGGGAGCCATAAATAGTGGGCCACACTCTGCAATTACAGCTACAACAAATCATTGCTACATTAATTTTCCCCAAAGGGCAGTGACATTGACCTCAATAAAGCCTACAGTTTTATTAGCAATGTGTACTTCAAAGCCTGTATTAGCAGTGAGTCTTGAAAACATATCATGCAAAAAGATGCATCACAAACTAGTAACATGTCACTGCAGTTTTCATGTTGCACAACTGCATTCAAACTTAAAATTGAGACCAGATCTAGTCCACCCTGAACAGAAAACTTTAGTTTCTCCATCTGTTATATAACCCTGCAAACCATACTTGCTCAAAAACTCCCTGCATGCATGGACAGTTAAAAGGAGGTTTCTGATAAGACCAATTTATACTGTTTTGAATTCTTCAGTTGTGAAACCTGAAACCTATGCAACACGCAAGCAGTTTTTTTAACTACACTATCAATACCTGTTGTGCCAGTTCTCTGGTGGGGGCCAATACTAGTGCTTGGGTCTCCTTGAACTCAATCTCCAACTGTTGCAGGATGGAAATAGCAAATGTGGCTGTCTTGCCAGTACCTGACTGAGCTTGAGCAATCACATCATACCCTAAAAAAAGTAGGATACATATTTACCGATCCCACATCAAACCGTCACTTCTAGTTTACACTATGTATTCCATTTGGAACATGAAATATGCCCAAATAATCAAGTGATCAGCAATGAGTATTCTCTTCATTTCAGGTCAGTCCCGAAAGATGATTGCCATCATTTCACTTTAAGGAATACAAGTAGGTAGGTACTAGTCCCCCAGACTATTTGCCCTTTTATAATGCAGGTCTATGTAAAACAATGCTTCGCTGTGATCAAGTGCCAACGAATTCTTTTACCTTTAATACAAGGAATAATAGCTCTCTGCTGAATAGCTGAAGGCTTCTCAAAACCATAAGCATAGATGCCCCGGAGAAGAGACTCCTTTAAATTCATATCGTCAAAGTTATCAACAATCTCATTCCAGTTGCTCTATAAAAAACAAACATTTAAAACGGAATAAATAGGATGACCAACCTCACCTCTCCACGGCTTCAAAATCCACACCCATTTCTTACCTCGATGACACCATCGGGTTCCATTCCCTCTGGGCCGCCATGTTCTCTGCGGACAGAAAGACCGCAGTTAGAGAACACCTTTCCAAGCCCCCGATCCGCACCTCAGGGAGGGGGCAGCCCTTCACCCCCGCTCCCGTCCGGTTACCCTCCCCTCCGCGTGTTCACTTCCTACTGAGAGAGCAAAGGAAGCTGATGGAGCAGGACACACCATTTATGCCCCGAGCGCCGCTGGCCGGCCAGCACGGCTGAGCGGTGACGGCCGGAAAAGCTCCCGGCGGACGGCCCTTCCCCCCAGCCCCGCGCTCGGGTCTCGGCGGCGGGCCGTCTCGCGAGAGCTCCACACGGCGAGCTCCGCCCCTTACAATGCGCAAGCCGGTGATTGACGCGGGCAAAGGCCTGGCCCGGGCTAAGCCAACGGTTCGCCGAGCCCCGTGGCCGGCCCGGTCCCGGCACCTCCCGGTCGTGGCCAGTGGGTGCCGCAGCCTCCCTCCCCCAACCTCCCTCCGCCCGCGGCGGTGGCCGCACGTAAAGCTTCAGGCCGGTTACACCGCACGGGACGCGGCCTGCGCCCCGGCCTTCACCAAACGTCAGTTCTGTGCGGCACGGCAGCGCCAGAAATCCAAATGGTCTTCGGGAAAAGCCGCCACACCACTCCATCTCCCTACCCTTGTCTCCCTGCAGTCCGTGGCCCTGCCCATCATGGAAGCTTCTCGAAGGACATAGGGGCGCCGTTCCCCGGGCCAACACCTATGAACCCGAGTTCCCCGCCTCCACGCCAGCCGCTACACCCCCCATGGCGCCGCATGACCTTCACCGGCGGGCACCGCGGGCAGCGCCGTACCTGTTATAGTCCGCGGAGCCACCAGACATGTTCCGAAGAGCCGCTCAGCGCCCGACTGAAAAGACAGCGGGGCCGCGCCACCCGTTTTTTATAGGCTCGCGACCGGAACCCGTTTTCTGCGGAGGAATTTTCCCGTCGCTCTTCGGTGAGCCACAAAATTGTGACCCTGGGAGCCTTACCTCCGAAAATATCCGAGGCGGGTCTGTGGGCAAACCCAGGTTGGTTGTTTCAAGATACTGCAGGGTCGCTGGAAATCGCGGGACGCCGAGGGAAGCTCGGGACTCTTTGCTCGGAGGCGGAAGAATATTGCAGCAAGCGGTGCTCGACCCGCGTTCCCCTCCCACCCTGCACCTACGGGGTTTCCGCGTCCCTGAAGCGGAGGCGCCGGGCCGGACCGGGAGGCGGAAGCCGGAGGCGCGCCGGGTGCAGGTGGCCCGACCTCCCCGGGGGTCCGTGCGCCGCGCCCGTCCTTGTCCGTGGCGCCCGGTGCCAGAGAGGCAGGCACCCCCACCCCGCGCCGCCCGGTTAAATAGCGATGGGAACAGGGCATTTAATTTGACCCTGAAGGGCTGCCTGGCCTTTAGCCCGGGCGCTTGATACCCATTCGGATAGGAAACGTGTAAAAGTCCTGCCAGGAAAGGCGGCCCCCAGCGCGTCCCGGAAAGCCCGGGTCCCCGCACTGAGCAGGGCGAGCGGGAGCGTGTGGCCGCGGCATCTGCAAGCGTCTCTAGGGAGCAGCCAACTCTCTTCCTCGCCTGTTGTTTCCGGTCTTCTCTAGCGCTCTTAATTTTCACCGTTGTGAGGAATGCATGATAAAATCATTTTAAACTTTTGTAAATGGATAATAGCGAAGGAGGAGTCATTTTCCTGACAATGAAGAAATTTAAGGGGGTGCTTCTGACGTACACAACTCCATGCTGTTTTGGGACGATGGGTTTTGATTCTGGTCTATCTAGGTCTGTTTTTTGAAGACGGAGTTTTAATTGCTTATTCGTAATGAATGTTGATTTACTGAAAGTGAGATCAATACAACACTTGCTGTTCAACTAAACTGCATGATTCTTTAAGTTCTAGAGGTTTTCAACTGTAGCCTCTTAACCCAGGCCTCTGGTAAAAACAATGTATCTACTCATGTAACTCTTAAATACAATCCTTCTCATGCTGCAAGATATCGCGAATATTCAGGAAAACATTTTCTCATTAATTCAGAAGACCAACCTAAAGTCTGAGACTGGAAATACTGATTCT